AAGGTTAGATTAGAACATTGTATAAGCACAACGAAAGCACATTAACTACTAAATACTAATAATTCACTTAATTTCACTAAAACGTTTAGTCTAAAATGGAAGTTCAGACATCACAATAAGCCTTATAGGCCTTAAGTCGTTCACTTAAGCCCCTTTTATAGTATGTTATAAAACACAGATCTCAAAACGTATACTTGAAGAATTTCAATCCATTTTATGCGTAAAGTTTTATGTAATGGTCCATCAGTAGACCATGCATGAGGCATTAATTCATGATCGACCTCAAGGAAATGTGCTCGCTTGACCAAAGATATGACTAGAAATGAAGTACATGTACAAATATTGAATTAATTAAGATTTCGAGTCACTCGAAGAACCCCTCTGTGGTTCGAAACTAGTAGAGCACAAAACAATGGCGCAATGTATTGACAGCGAAATACTTTTTACACCTCCTTTTTTGAGGAGAGAAAATCAACCAATATCTTTCCCGCCCGGACGAGGCGAGACGAGAGGGAGTATCAGACTCTTACTGACTAAAAACCACCCCGTTCCTACTGCTGCACTTCGAGCCGGAGCCCCGGCAACCCGTTAAGTCTTTCGTGGCTCCGTATCGGCATCAGCCCTGTTGGGCCCAATCTATGGTATGGCGCGAAACGCGACGCGCCGTACGCTCGTGTCTGGTTCTGATCGGGCGGCGAGTCACTCGTGCTCCCCGCCTGTAGGCCCGTGCTTATGGTAGTTGGAGATCTCGTGATTCCCGACGCCCAGACTGTTTCTCGCGGCGGCTGGGGCGTGAGGAGGTTCGTTCCCACACGCGCTCCGCCTCCTGTTTAGCTAGCATGACTGCATGAAGGAGGAGACAGCATCCCAGTCCCCCTCGCTCCGTACCATGCTCTGAACCAGAGCCGGCCGCTAGAGGTCACCGTCGCCGAACTTTTTATAGCCCTGGTGTTGCAAGTGTACTTAGGCTGATCAGGTGAAACTGAAGCTTTGTTATCTACCAATAGCAATAGCAATAGCATCTGGCGTAAAAAAGTAGTGAAGAATCTACATTTATTTACAGTACTATTAGACCAATTGAAAAGACTAATGATATCAAGCGCTTCATCTATCATTTCTTAATATAATACAATATACGTTATATGAGGTAACTATACAGTTTCCGCAGGTATCATCAATCTTCGTCGCCTATTAGTGATCCATTTGGCGATGAAAAGTACTTTCATTAGAGAGCGAAACAATTTGTGCTTTAGGAAGGTTTTCGTAAAGTACAAATTGTTCAACCTAATCAGGTTAGATAGCATTTTTTTAAGGGGGGAAAATCATGGAATGACTGCTCCCGCCTGGGTGAGGCGGGAGGAAGTGTCAGACTCTTACTGACTAAAAACCACCCCGTTCCTTCTCCTGCACGTCGAGCCGGAGCCCCGGTTACCCGTTAGTTTCTCCGCGACTCCAAATCGGCCCTGTTGGGCCCCATCTGTGGTGGTCTGATGGCTCTTTGAGGCGCGCGCGGAACGCGAAGCGCCGCACGCTCGGGTCTGTTTCTGGTCGGACGGGGAGCCACCCATGCTCGCCGTCCGCAGGCCCGTGCTTACGTTGGCCGGAGATCGTCCCGCGATCCCCGACGCCCGATGTGTCCTTCGCGATGGCTAGGTTGCGAGGAAGGTTAGATTATTATAGTTACTTATTTATTGAGAAAAAGTGTTTATTGACATTATAAGAAGTTACCAGACACTAGGATTTTCTCGAGAGTCGTGGGTGTGTTTATGAACATTTTATTTTATGTATCCTGTCTACTTCACACCCAGAGCCAGGACAATAAATATGGATCACACAAAAATTTGTTGTGGGTGAAAATCGAAGCCACGATTAGTTGCACAGCAATCAGTTTCCAAGTGACTACGCCAATCATGCAATTTTATTTCATTTTCATTACTTTTTTTTATTTTTCCATATTTGAGTTGATTATGGGTAAAAAGTTATACATGTATGTATACAGTCAATTACATACACTACCTCATCACACAAATAAATGAAAATTTCACACGTAAAATAAATTACAAACAATAATTATGCAAGCTAAATTCATACTTAATACAGACACTTTTAAACTTATTTTAAATCAAATCGGTTCAACGAATGCAATTTACATCATAATGAGAGATTCACATGCATTGTGATTGTAGAGGTATAAACATTTTACATACGAAAATAAATTTAGTTTTGCATGAACATTGGTGACAGGGCAAAAATGACCGTGATTTGAATTTTAAACTAATTTAACCAGTGAGTCGTTATTAATAGGGTTGCATATTGAATGATTCATTATCGGAGTAGTTGTCTATATTAAAATTTGTTTGTGAACATTTACTTTTAATTTTCTTTTGTTCTTTTTGGGTTAGTAGTTTATATAGTTTATATGTTTGTAAACGCATGATGACGCCATGACACAGATGAAAATTATAATGTGGGGCATCGTTTTTTTTTTAAGCGGTCTAATTTACTAGCTGTGTCGTGCAAAGAATCATACTATACATAATATCGGTCTTATGCTAGCAAAATGTAAAAAGAAGCGATTATTAATAGACCACAAACCTGTGTATGTGGTTTAATTATTATCACACACCACCTACAATGTATATGTCAGTATTTACTGCTGAGACCCTAAATCATTCAGCATTGGTCGTCATCCAACCGCAGCATGTATTAGGTTAACAGAACCATCCCAATGTAACCGCATGTAGCTTCGATGTAAATTAAACTAGTGAACGCCACCTGGATTGCCTTGTTTAACCAAGGTTCAATCTGTATAAACCGTGGTTAATTAACTAGGTTCTGTTTGAGGTTAGGTTCATTTCGTTAAAGTCTTGTAGTTGTCTCGATTTTGAAGTGTTTGTTTTATTTTGATTACCTCGTTGGCCGAGTAATCGCAAGTGCGACTGCCGGGCAAGGGGTCTCGGGTTCGATTCCCGGGTCGGGCAAAGTACTACTAGGTTTTTTAAAATAATCTCAGGGGTAGCACGGAGTCTGTAATTGTGTCCGGTACCTATATGGCAGGAGGCTCACCCCCTATTACATGGGACTCATAACATAATTAGTGAAAAGTGGGTGTTATACTGTTCAATGGCATTAAGTGTCGTTATGTGGACCTTTGCCTACTTCTTCAGGGTAGATGTATGTGATGACGTGATGTTATGTTATGTTAAAAATATACAGAAAGTTTTACAAAGAAAGAGTAATTAGCATTGCAGTAATATAAACATTGAATCTCCATAATTTAATCTCAGGGTTAAAATGTAAATTAACTGAGTTAACTCGAAGTGTACAGTACACATTTTTCGTTTTATATGAACAAAAATACTTTTCTAAGTATTTCCAAGTTCTTTACTTAAACAGTGTTCATTTGTTTGTTCATTTTGAAATTCTTTCTGTTTTATCACTCGATTACTGAAAGACTTCAATATTAGGTAATCAATTCTCAAATATCTTGCCATCTCTGCCATTTTACAGACTGCCTCATTGGCCAAATTACGTATGTCGATTTATAACATGATAACATTATAATTTAACACAAAAATCTTTTCCGACTTCGAAAAAAGGAGGTTTAGGAACGTAGTTTATCACAGAATTATAACGGACGCCAAGAAGAATTTCAAGTACACAAAACAAAGATTAATAATATTATTAATGTACACAACATAACATCACGCCTTTTATCCCCGAAGGAATAGGCAGAGGTGCACATTACGGTACTTAATGCCAATGTTAAATGTAACACTCACTTTCCACTATTTATGTTATGAGTCCTATGTAATAGGGGGTGAGCCTATTGCCATATAGCGGGCACAATATCAGACTCCGTGCTACTACTGAGTATTTTTAAAAAGCCAGTAATACTTTGCCTGACCCGGGAATCGAACCCGAGATCCCTTGCCCGGCAGTCGCACTTGCGACCACTCGGCCAATGAGACAGTCAAGTCAAAGATTAATGTAAGTTTTTTCAAATGAGGTACCTACATTTTCACACGTAGTCGTTGTCCCTAAAGAACATCAGCTGGTCTCCAACGAGAAGGGATGAAACTTAACAATCATAACAATGTCTCAAACTTGAAGTAGAAATTCCAACTTGTAGCTTCCCAAAAAGTTGGAAATAACTTTGGGAAAATTTCCAATCACCATAAGTTCTTTGAAACCCTTCGGTTCCAAATATTCAAGTACTTTATTTCCCCTGGTCAGGCCATAAATATAGGGGAAAGTTTTTTCCTGTCGTGAAATATTACAAAGATTCGCTTTTCGCTTTCCCGCCTGTCGATATCAGACATCTTTGAATGGGAGAACCTTTTATGTGAAAAAACGGAAAACGAATGAAGCCAATGACGTATGGTCCAACTCATCTTAAAGTCAACTGTCGTGAAGAAATAGAACTTATGATTAAAATTAAATGGAGATTTTGGTTTAACTCGTCGATTGGTTTAACTCGTCGAGTACCGGTTTTGTAGACACAATTATAGAACAATAGCTTGCGGTCATCGGTGACCACGTTTTTTGTTTTTTTTTTTTAAGGGGGGAAAATAATCGAATGACTGCTCCCGCCTGGGTGAGGCGGAAGGGAGTGTCAGACTCTTACTGACTAAAAACCACCCCGTTCCTTCTCTTGCACGTCGAGCCGGAGCCCCGGTTACCCGTTAGGTTCTCCGCGACACCGGTGACCGCTTGGTGTTTGACAGTTTAAGAAGAGGTGACGGAAAAAGAAGAATGTAAATAGCTTTGTTGGTGTTAAGTATTAGTATTTTTTTAGCTTCATTTTATATGAGAAAACCGTCATAGAATACAAAATTCAGTACATATTACAATGAAGTCACTACACATTTTAGAGCTTTAGCTTGCCTTTAAACTTAAAATTAAATGATAAGTACAGTGTTCTAGCGTCAGATGACAATGGTGACGCTAAAATGAACTATGATGAAAACCAATATTAAAGTTCTTATAACTAAAGACCTGCAGGCTTACTCTTGATTTTAATTCCGATCGATCGACATTGGAATTTGAATGTTTCGTACTCTTGAGTTTGACACTAGCGCCACATTGGTTTTAAATTGTGTGTCTATTGTATGAAACTAAATGAAATTAGGATTGGATTCGAATTGCAATAAACGGTACTCTTGAGCACGTTTTGACAGCTGTCAATTGCGCCAATATTGAGTTGCGATTGTTTGTTTATTGTGATTTTTCCAATAACAAAAGTGTAACTTTTTAGAGATTGTTTTGCATTTTAAGTGAATTTTCGTCAGAGATTACTGTATAATATGGCACGATTAGTCGTTATGTACAGTGTTTTACGTAATTCTCATAAAAAACAATTAAAACAGAGGCGAAATGAGCGTAGGTTGATGCGGTATATGGACAAAGCGTTTTCAATGAACGAAGTGGAGTTCCAGGCGAATTATAGAGTGACCAAGGATTTATTTGGCGAGCTTTATGATAATATTAAGCCCTTTCTGCCAGCTCATAAGAGAAAAAATGACATATCACCGAAATATAAGGTAAGCATACTACGATCTTTCATTACGAACTTAGCTCAACAATGATTTAAATTAAAATACATAAGTGCTACTATCATAATAATATATTATCATAGCCAGTGAAATAGCCATAGGTTAATACCCATATGATTCTTGCAGGTTTTAGTGGCATTATCCTTTTATGCTACTGGGAGCTACCAGAAACTGGTTGGAGGCACATATGGGACCCTAATGTCGCAGCAATCCGTATCTCGTGCTATACGAGATGTAACAGCAGCTCTAAACCATCCTGCAGTAGCAACCAAATGGATTAGGTTTCCTCAAAATCGCCAAGAAAGGGATGCTATAAAAAGAAGGTAATGTTGATTACAATCAGCTGTTTATTTTCAAACTAACATAATTTGTTCACATTTTATTGCATATGTACCTACAATAAATTAGCAGACTAATATCACCTTGTGTATTCTCTATCAGTCAATTTAAGAACATATAATTATTATAAAAGTACTAAACAAACATAAAACTATGTACATACATTTTCTACTTAATTATTAACACTGTTTTTATGTCTTTTTATGAATTTGCTGTCCAACTTAACTTAATTGTGGGTTTACAATGGTGAACAGCAGTTCAAAAATGTTAACAACAATAATATGTCTGTTTTGTACTTATTGTTTGTAATGATTTTTGTAAATAACGGTTTAACCAGGTATATTCTTTATGTTCCAGGTTTTATGAAAGGTTTAATATACCATCTGTGATAGGGTGTATTGATGGTACACATGTAGCCATCATTAGGCCATCAGAAAATGAGGAGAGATTTTTTAACCGCAAACATTTCCATTCAAGGAATGTTATGATTGTAAGGCAATACTTCTCATTAATTAATTACATAACCCATTTGACTTGTTGTAACAACTTAGTTTAATAACCCTTTTATATTATTTTCAGATAAGTGATGCAGATTTAATGATTCTGTCAGTAGATGCTTCATATGGAGGGGCATCACATGACAGTTTTGTATGGAATCAGCATCCTGTGAAACAACACTTAATTGATTTGAATAATAATGGAGAAAATGTATTTTTACTAGGCAAGTATCTAAATGTTGTAAACAAGTCATCAGTCATATCTGCATTTTTCTGACTGGGAATATTTTTTATTTAGTTTTTGTTTCAGGTGATTCTGGATATGCACAGAGGGAGTACATGATGACACCAATTATTGATGCTCCTCAGGGTTCACCCGAAGAATATTACACCAAACTGCATTGTATGGCACGGAATACAGTGGAGCGTACCATTGGTGTATTGAAAAATAGATGGAGGTGCTTACTCAGGCATAGGGTGTTACATTACCACCCTGATGTAGCAGCTAAAATAATAAATGCATGTTGTGTGTTACACAACATGTGTTTAAATAGGGTAGATGAAGATCTTGAGGACAATACAGCTGAAAATGAAAATGATTTCCAAGATGTCACTGCCCAAGAATCTTCTGGTAGTAACACAGCTGCTGAACTAAGACGAGGTATCGAAAAGAGAAATGCTTTAGTTCAGCAGTTGTGGGCGAGCAGAAGGTAAATGTTTTTATTTTAAATTTGTATTTGGCTTTTTTTAATCTATTGTATTTTTTTATCATTTCTGTCTTTATTATAAATTAGTTGTCCTTTTTTATTATATGTCATATCATTTTTATATAGTATTATTAGTCTTAATTATGTTATTAAGAAAGAATAAAAATACATTATAAAAAGAAAACTTTTATTTATTTTACCCATTTTAAACTATAACATAAATCAACAATATAAAATTAAATCACAAATCAACAATGTAACAAGGAAATCATAATTATTAGACCTACATTAAATCAATATATCAAATAGAACTGCTAAGGATTTGGCATTTTACTAGCTACATCTGAAATTGCATTAGCAATAGATGTCAGAGCATTAGCTATATTGCCAATATTTTCTGACAATTTAGCCAATGCTTGTGCTGTAATTAGCTCTGCTTCAACCCTGCGTGCTTCGATACTTGAGAACTGCTCCATTTGTGAATCCATCGGCCTCGAAATCGACGATCGGCGCCGCCGGCGAGTTCGTGGTGCTGGTGGTATAGTAGGTATAGAATTCTCAAGTGGGGTAGGCGATGCAGGTACTGAAATGTAAAAAAATACGTAAAACACTATTATAAAAAGTTAAATAAGTACTTAAGTTTAACATTCTAACATTCATTAGAAGGTTACACATTAGTGCTTTCCCACTTGAGCTATGTAAGCACACACAAACGGCACATTCTAGTGTGACTAATTAGACTCCATGTTAATAAATTTATAAATTCAAATATACTTACTTGTGGATGAAGCTGGTATTGCATCAATGTGTGACATGCCAAGAATAGGAGAATTAGCTTGCATTACTTGTTCTCCTGTTTCTACAATCTCTATCATTATAGGTAGCTCTGTATGACTACTGTGACTAGTCTGAAACAGTAAAATTATATCAAATAATTTTTGATTTAATCAAATCTTATGTAGCTACATAATGAATTATCTTTGACAAAAATTACCGATTGAGGAAATGGGTTGACTGCCAAACTTGTATCGCCTGTTGCAAATTCTCGCCCACCCATTACTGCCACCAATCTAGTATCTAAAGCGGAGAGCGCTGGTAAGTTGTCTGATGCTCCGCCACCAGTGCGTCTCATTGAGGCTGAGAGTCCTGCACAATGTTTCCGTAGAGCGCACTTCTTCTCAGCCCAATACTAAAAAGAAAATGCATTCATTTTGATGAAATTGCTCAAGTAATATAATAATAATTCAGATTAAAAGTAATGTTATGTAGCAAGTAAGTAAGTAGTCATTTTAATTACCTTCGCCCAAGCCCTGCCGTTTTTATTGGCACCTCCTAACGAATTTAAAGAAGTCGCTAAATTTTCCCACTTTCTCTTCGTTTCTATTTGGCCTTGGGTTGTCCGAACTAAGCCCTTAGCTACGCCTGGATTTTGTTCTAAAAACTCCACTAAACCTTCTAATTGGGCGTAGCTAGGACGACTTGGCATTGCAACTGAAATTGATAAACATTGATTAATTAGGCCTAGACATACAAAATACAAGTAATGGTATAGTTCTATAGGTAGTACATGGACCAACCAAAGTAGTATGAAAGTTCACAAATACAGCTTAAACAAATACTATAGCAAAACAATGCCGAAATATTTATTTATGAGCATTTAGGTACTTACCAATTGTTTAAACGTTGATACAAGGTAACTAAGTTGGCCGTTTTCACTTTAAACAGTAAATAAGTATATCTCAAGGTATATAATAAGTAATAATGCAAACAAACTCGTTCGTAATTTCTTCTAAAAACTTTAGAACGTTTTAAATTATGTGGAGAACTTTTACGGAGGGGTTTTTTTAGTAGTGTTGCTAACGTATAGGTACATCCAAAGCAAACCAAAGTCATGGTAAATTAATTTTTTTAATTATTTACTTCCTTAAAAATAAATTAATCTAGTTAGAAATAGAAAACAAATAATTATATGAATGATTATTATTTTTAAACCTTATTTTTTTAAAGATATATGATTTTAGAGCCCTGTCTCAAGTTTATCGTAAAAAGTCGAACAACACTATTGTGTTTCGATGCATAGCTAACTTCACGTTACACTAAACAATCGCGGGACAATTCCGATTTCAATCCAATGTTATCATTATTGTTTTCAAGAGTACCGAATGTCGTGAGTTCAAATTTAGCATTGGAATTGGATTGGCTTTGGATTGGAATTGAAATTAGTTTCAAGAGTAAGCCTGCTGATCTATGAGACTCAATATTATAACTATAGCATTGCATGAGACAAATTGCTTATTACATCGTCATTTATTGACTTCATTCGTAAAGTACGTGGGCTGTCAAATCCTAGGGTTTTAGGGTTTACGTACTTTACTTTACGAACTCCCTTTCTTTCCCATAACTAGCTAAAAGTAGATAAAACATAAAAAATGTAGGTAATTTATGAAGGCAGACAAATAGAACATTGCCATCTATATAGCAAAAGACTAACTATGTCTATTATTTTCAAATACACAACTGAAACCTGACATCTCAAAAGGCTTATATAAGTATATACACAATAATATAAACCTTCTAATTATTTTTACTACAACACATGAACAATAAACCGACCTTTTTCATTTCACGTCGTTTATTCCTTTCAAGCTAAAACCTTACGTTAAATGAAAATAAAATGTAAATGTTTACCAAACAATAGGTATAAATTAGGAGCTTAAACAAAAAGGGTTAGTTGACCTGACCCTTTATAAAGCGGACTAGGATACAAAAAAAGTGTTGTAAACGAAAAATTTTAGGTCGGATACAAATTGTGACTTTTAGAATTTTGTATTATAAGTCTGTAACTAAAACTAGGCACGTTTCTAGACTTTAGGAGTGATATTGAGGATCAGTTTTGAGAAAATTATAAATAAATTGTAGGTAGGTACCAACTCTATCAACATACATCAGGTGGATTTGTTTAATTTGCAATGCGCTTCTATCTTCTTGAGTATTGCGTATGACCATGGGAGGCACTGATCACTTACCACCAGGGTGCTTAATCTTGAAATCAATCTCAATGTCAATGCAATTACAATCGACTAAAATAACATAACAACATAACATAACATCACGCCTTTTATCCCCGAAGGGGTAGGCAGAGGTGCACATTATGCCACTGTACGATGTAACACCCATTTTTCACTATTTATGTTATGAGTCCCATGTAATAGGGGTGAGCCTATTGCCATATACCGGGCACAATTCCAGACTCCGTGTTACTACTTAGATTTTTTTTAAAACCCAGTAATACTTTGCCAGGCCGGGCCGGGCCGGGGAATCGAACTCGAGACCCTTTGCCCGGCAGTCGCACTTGCGACCACTCGGCCAAAGAGGCAGTCATCTAAAAATAAGTTAAAAAAAAATCTCAATAATTATTCAATCTCAAAACTATACAACCCCTATCGTAACTGTTAAAATAACATTCAGAGTACGGAATATAAAGCCAAACTCAATACCATTTAGTTCATTAAATATCCACGCAATTTGGATGCAATGGGCGCTAGTGTTGCAACTCAAGAGAACGAAATTTCACAATACCAATGTCAATCGATCAGTATTGGACTTAAGAGTAAGCGTCCACGTCTGATGATCCATCTTCTCAGTTGTCCTTTATGCAAAAATGTGTTTTCTAATAGACAACCTTCAAAATATACTTATGATGACACTTTGTCCGACCTTAGGATCAAAACCAAAACTCATTATATACTAAGTTTCAAAACTGTTGAACTTTGACTTCAAGACCTATGTACAAACTTTAAGAATTTAACTTAGGCATGTAGTTAAATTAAAATTGAGTGCCGTACTTAAAAACCCTATAACTTAAATTTACGGCCATTTTGCTTAAGTTCAAGTTCATTGGTGTACTTAGCTATGTAACAGTTGACCTTCAACTGACCTTCGGTTTTCAAGTGTCACTGAAACGTACCCAAAATGTTCACATTACTTTAGTTTCGAAGCATAAAACAAAATTACTTTTAACTTTTAAAATTCAATTATTCTTTTATGCTTATATTTTATTTTAGTTTTATTCACTCTGATTTGTCGACTCAACATAGATTTAAGATACATCTTTGCATAACATAACATAACATCACGCCTTTTATCCCCGAAGGGGTAGGCAGAGGTGCACATTATGCCACTGTACAATGTAATACATCTTTGCAATATTTATTAAAAAGACTTTTAAATTCTAAATTAAAGATTATTAATATATCTTGCTCCCTCATGATCACTTAATTGCGGAGCTCAAAATATAAGTAATTTATCATAATCGATTAGTTTATATTCAGCATAGAGTACCTATATTCATTTTAAACCTAAAAATATTGATACCCAATCATCATGTAACTATTAAAAAAGTACAACCTCCCTCCCCAATCTCCCCTATCCCCGAATCCCCAACAAATCTCAAACTCTTAATCCCCAAAAGGTCGGTAACGCATTTTGTAACAACTCGTCGAGTACCGTCATTATAAACACAATTAAAGAACAATAGGTTGCGGTCACCGGTGACCGCTTGGTGTTTGACAGTTTGACCCTGGTGTTTCGAGTGTCCATGAGCGGCGCCGATTGCTTACCGTCACGTGATCCGTCTGCTCATTTACCTTAAATCATGAAATAAGAAAATATTATTGATTCATATTCTTATACAATACATGAATATTTTCTATTAGAACCATACAATGAAACTTTACGAAAAATTTTAAAATAAAAGCATTGCAACAATCTTTATATTTAAAAAACCTTCCACGTAGAATATAAAAGTCATTCCTTATGATTATGGCAGATATGAGTAAAAATAAAAAGGCACAACGGAATAATGGCGAACATTAGCAAGATGAGGCATAATGGTTCTCTTATGACGCACGTGCTTTTAAATTATAACCGCGCATGTGTAGTCGACTTTTATCCTTTTTCGTAAAAACTGTTTGGGGACGTTTTAAAGAATATTTCTTGGTTTGGATTGTTTGTTTTTCTTTTGTCTTGTCGTTTGGTTTGTTGTAAGATTTTTCTTTATATATCTTACGTTTTTAGAGAATAAAATGTCATGCAGAACTGGCTGAAACAGGGGGATTTTGATTTTGAATTGTCATGTGCACAGTATGTGGGACTAATAACTTGCATTTTGTTGAATAGAAAGTGTTGCTGTAAATCATTGTCAATTTTGAATATATATATGTATATACGAGTTCTAAAAATTTATAATAGGGATGATGACAGGGTATGAAAATTAAAAATCTAATTAGTCCGTCAGTTAGATAATGAAAAAATATTAGACACGTATTTTTTATTTTGTCGTATAAGAAAAAAATACTTAGATAAAACTAATCAAAGTTTAGGAATGGGAGGTAGCTACGTCATTATAGAGTATAAATCGTACTCAAAAGTAACGTCATGCGATATTTCAAATCAATATATCTTCGAAACTATTCGTTTCCGTAAGAACATAAAAAATACGTGTCTAATGTTTTAAATAATTAGTCATTCATCATACCCTATTATGAATTATTCCGTGTAACGTCTTAGACATACTATAACAGTTTCCACAACAAAACACTATTTCAAAATAGAATCTATGAACGTAACTTACATCAGTTTACTTTGACGTAACCGCACTCCAGCTCATGTGTACCGAGCCTTTACACAGCGATTTTATAACAGCTTTTATTGCATTTTCTCTTCGTTTATATACACGTTTGTCGATAAAGGTTATATACGCTTTTATGTATGTACCTCTCACTGAGTTTCCTGTCTAGAAAACTGATTATTTTCTGAACACGTTCCATCAAATGAGGTATGTGGTTGTTGAAGGTTGTTTGTTGGCTGTGGAACAAGCGTTTTAATATCGGGGAACTATATATATGTATTCGTAGTCTCGAATCTCTCCTATTTTTTTTTAAATTTATTATTACATACGATACTGAAATATTTATTGGTATGCAATTTGGTAAGTCACGATTTGATCCTGTATCCCAAAGGAAAGAGATCCCATCTATTGTGATAGGAAATACAGTAACTTTTTAGATACGCAATTCTAGTCTATTTACAAAGAAAATACATCACGCCTTTTATCCTTGTAGGGGTAGGTGCACATTATGACACTTAATGCCACTGTACAATCTAACATTCACTTTTCACTATTTATGTTATGAGTCCCATGTAACAGGGGGTGAGTTTATTGCCATATACCGGCCACAATTTGAGACTAAATGCTACTACTGAGAATTGTTAAGAAACCCAGTAATACTTTACCTGACTCGGGAATCGATCCCGAGACTCTTGCCCGGCAGTCGGATTTGCAACCATTCGGCGATTGAGTGGTTCATTTACAGAAAACACATCCTTGATAATCAAATAATACATTTCTATAACTAGTGACCGAACCTTCACAGTCATCAATCATCAAAAACCATTTAGATCAACGAGCCGGTCAGCAATAACTCTAAACTTCTAAACGATATCATAGCTATAGATTCAAAATAACAAAACAAAACAAATAAAGTAAGCACTGAGCTGAGATTACCCAATTTCCATCTTATTGTCCTCTAAATAGAGATCTGAATCTAGTCTAGACTTAAACAATAAACATGTCAGTTCATTTCACGGCTTTAGCAACGGATAAGAAAGTTTTAAATGATGACAGATTGTCACTTGGTATATTTATCTTAGCTTTTCGTACTTAGAAGGATAAATGTTGGGTAGCAGTTGCTTGGAATAAAGGACTTTATTAGTATAGGGCTGTAGATTTCTATTTAAGTAACTTGAACTGGCTTTGTTGGTCAAATGTAACTAATGAACAGTTCATAGATTTATAGCGCTATAAAATGACATCACGCCTTTTTTTGCCAAAGG